CCCTTGGTCATGACAGCTAAAATAGCCAACTGCTGCTATTACCCAGCATTGCTTTTTGCTAGCCATCAATGCTTCGTTGACTGCTTTGCCAGATTCTACATTATTTCCACGCTGCTGATTCATTAATTCGACATTTTATCAGAGTTTCAAGCATAGCTCAAGCGTGAAATTCGTCTGCATTTGCAACATTTGTTATAAGTCTACAATGTATGCGTGCCCTTATGAATCTATGTTTGTTTGTCCATATTTGTATAAGTGTTTGTGTGCATGTGTATACATACATATATTTGTATAAAGCAACAATGTGTTGAATGAATGGCATTCGCCTGGCAATGGCAGCACCATGAGCCATGGCTACTACTACCACTACTCCTCCTCTACTAGTACTAATACTACCGCAAATAGCCAGCGACAAAGACATTACAAATCGTAGAATTAGCAGAAGTGAGTAGTGGCAGCAGCAATCGAGATACTAAACAACAAAAACAACTATGGTTATTTGAAACTACTCGAATTGCCAGCGCCAGACTTGTAGTTCGGATTTGCTATGTGGAAGTGAAGCATTTGGAGTTGTTACTCCTGCTCGCAGCTATATTACGCACATACATACGTACACACAGCTGGTAAATAATACCATGCTGGCTATGCCATTTGACATCGCATTGCTTCTAGCCAGATTTAGCAGATTTGGTCATTACGACTGAAGCCAGCGGATGAACGGGTACGGTGGAGTAGTGCCCAAGCAAGGGAAAGGTTTCAACTCGGATGAGAAATGGAAGCGCTGTTTGCGCTAGGTTACATCCGATTAGCATTTACTAGCTATCTTTTTTTAACCGACTTCCAAAAAAGGAGGAGGTTATCAGTTCGTCGGAATATTTTTTTTTTTTTTTATGTATGTTACCGCATAACTTTGGACCACGTCACCACCGATTTCGATAATTCTTTTTGCATCGGAAAGGTTGTGTCTCAGAGGTGGTCCCATACTAATCTGGTTGAGATCCGATCAGTGGATCATGATATATATATATATATATTTTTTTTTTTTTATATGGGAGTTGAAGTCGGTTTTTTTTGCTAAAAATTACTTGTTATGAGTTGTATCGAAATAGGAGGCGAATCTTCTTGTGCGTTCGCTACCTCCTTTGGCACCACAGACATAAACTGTGTAGTGTCTGCTGTATGCCATTGTGGCTGAATGCTTGCTGTTGCTGTTGCTGTTTCTGCGCTTTTTTTTTCAGACGTAAAGCGGAAATCACTTTAATGCAATTGAGCTGAAATGGCTGTACATTTCCATTTGATGTATGTTTTGCTCTCGGCTAGCTTCCGCACAAAAGCTGCCGCTGCTGATTGAAAAATGAATAAGTGAATGATGAACGAGAAATATGTATGTACTACGTTGTGCCAGCGTGTAAGCGGTGATGGTTTGCCAAAGACGGTGGTACATAGTAAGTAAATATGTAACTGCTACTCCCGCTGACAATGACTGTAATTCCCAAACTTTGAAGTACTTTATAAATGGATTAGTCGAATGAAATGAGCAGATATGAATGAGCGCTAAGCGTTAGTGTGTGGGTGAGGTGAGTGAGCAACTAACAAATGATTGAGTAAGGCAAAAGAATAAGCATTTCAAGCGCTTTACAACCTTTTATTCTGCACTTACATTTTATCCCTACTTTTTATTTATCTTTCATCTTATTACTGATGCTCTTTGTTTTCACTACTTTGTGTGCTGGTATGTTGGAGTTTTTTGTTTTTTTTTATTCTTTTTTTTTTGTGCTGATGCTGATCTTATTATCGACTAATTCGACAAAGTGCTGAAAAGTTTATGCCTTCAGATGTACAGACATACACTGGTGGCAGAAATAGTTGAAACGCCATAATTTTCCGCTTTGTCTATAATTCTTTTGTTTTTAATGTTCAATATTTTTTTTTTGTAAAAGTCTAGCTCATTATACATGTCCACCCGCTCTAAAAATATTTTCACTCAGTTAATAAGTTCAGGACGACTTGAAGTTCGGAAGTCATTTAGAGTTTGAAAATGGCACTTACGAGAAAAAAGTTTCAAATATAAGCTGCATATTTTTATCCGCGGAATCCGAATCTGTAGTAAAAATTTATAGGTCTAAATTAGAATACCACTCCTCCTCTTCTCTACAGCTTCCACATAAAACGTTATGCGGTGCTCCTAGCCTGGCGGCCATATGTCTAATGGTCCAGTGTCCCGTTAGTATTCCTGTGAGAATCTTAACGTTTGGCTTTAACAGCCTTAATAAATTTGTTCTTCGTTCTTCGCGCCGTGTGCAAATTTTCCTACCTGCTGTTAGTAGCTGCCCTGGTCAGTCTCTCGACTGCTGAAGACATAAATGGCAGGGGAAGTTTCATGATCTGAATCGCTTTCGCAAGCTCCTTCTCAGATCCCTTCCTTGCACATTCGATAGGTTCCTCATTTCCTGGGACATCATTGTGCTCTGGGACCCAATAAAGGTTGATTATGTGTTGCTGTTGTAGAGCTTGTAGGGATCTTCGGCATTCCTTAACACATATCGAGTTAGTCGTTACCGAGCCTAAGGCTTTGATAGCCGCCTGACTGACAACGACGAAGGCAAGTTTAGATGGAGCTAGGTCAATCATGCGCACCAGCCTTGCCGCCCTGTCGATTGCATATATCTCAGCCTGAAAACATTGCAGTGATCTGGGAGTACATAAGACTTTGTCAGAGCTAATTCCTGCGAGATGACGTTCCAATATCCATTTTGGAGTCGTCCATGAAAATTTGTATTTCGTCATCGCTAAGAGCTATTCTAAATTCCCAGTCACTTCTGTCTGGAAAATGGACATTGAAATTCCCATGGAAGTCAATCTTCGCGACATGATAGTCACAGCTACTATACTCCACCCCCCACTATGTCGAGGATTATGGCGTGACCCGCGCAAGTTGTTCGCAGCCTCACCTACGCATCTAAATGGGCCAAACTGTTCGCAAAAACAGAATTTGAAAAATCACCGACAATTTTCCTAAACTGCACTATTTATATTAAAAAAAAAAAACGAAAATATTAGGCGGCAAACGAAATTATTAAAAACCAACGCGACTTTTTAGCTGCTTGAAATTTGCACTTTGTTTTACCAAATTTAATTGAATTTGTATAATATTTGTACAAAGTTTGAAATGCGCATTTATATACAGTCTATAACATAAGTATTGAGCTGGACTTAAAAAAATATTAGACTTTAAAAACAAAAGAATTATAGCCGAAATCGTCAAAATAAGACGGTTGTTTTGTTTCTGCCACCAGTGTATATATGTATATGTATGTATGTAAATGTATACACTCTAGTTACGAACAATAGCTAAATGACAACGTACAAAGCGAATGCCAATAAGAAAATAAAAAAATAACTGAGTACCTACTTTGTAAACGACCACGACATTAATTCGAATTGTCATTTTCAATCGAATTTCAAATTCAGTTGCTCATTGTCAGTGGAATATCGCAGGGTATTGTCAATGTGAGATTATATAAATTTCACTTCGTTTCACAGTTTCATCTAACTTTTTTTGAGTTGCTGGAAATTCGATTTTCAAGCACTTTTAAGTGTGCATTTACGAAGAGCGAGTGGACAAAAAAAAGCAGCGAAAATAGTCGTTGTAAAAATGCCTTTGTGCTTTGGGGTATTATCAATTTTCAATTTTTTTTTCTTCACTTTGTTTTATTCATTGCGATTTCATAGTAAAGTGTATTAGAATTATAAAGTGTACTTATGTATAGTAAAAGTAATGCAATTTAAGCCGCGTATTTACTGAATTGCATGTCATTCGTATAATGAAATTTATACAATTACTTAAGGGTTTGAGATTATCGATAGATTTCCAAACAGTTTAATAATTTACATTTTCAACAATTCAAAAGAAATTTTATTTTATAAAGTAGAATACGTCTAATGTGTCGGTCTGGGTGCCGAGCCTAGATTTTGCGATTGTAATTTTTCGAGCTTGACGAAAACGCTTACTGAACACGAAGTAGTGAAGCGAAATATTTTGTTTTTGTTTTTGTTTATTAGTTTATTTTAGTGACAATTTTGAGACTTTACGGTGCTTTGGCAACTTCGATTTGCAGATATAAAAATGCGGAATCTAAGTTCTTTAGAGTAAAAGAAATATTCCTGTGTACAAGTTTAAAATAAATTGCCCAAAAATCGAGCGTTTTAAGATACAAAATGGGTGAAAAAATTAGGCAATTTTTTTATTTATCTTCAAAAAAAAGCTACTAACCGCTCGAATGATTTTGTTTCTGTTTCAAGTCCCTGCCTTTAGTTCGGTATAATTTTTTGATTAAAATTAAAAATTATTGATCGTCGCTACTCTGTATGCATTTATACCTTTATATGTACTTATGTCCATACTTACGTATGTCTGTATGTATTTCCAACAGAAAGTGATACACGTTGCATTATATTATTTTGACTAAAAAAAGACAAAGACAAAGACGGACCAATGCGACGCAGGATGCGATAAGGAACACAAAGACAAATACAAACACAGGACGATGCCAATATAGAAATTAATACGAAAACTATAACGAAAACGAATACGAGGAGCAACACGAAAATGAATGCTGAGGCGAAGACTTGGATGGACACGAATACGAATAGGAAGACAGATACCATTACCGAGATATTCACAAAAATTTTTTGAATTTTTTTAATATTGTACACGGTTTTTCTTGAAAAATGAATTATATTTTTATACAAAAAATTACTAAAATTAAAAAAAAATTAAACAAATGGTTAAAACTTGTTCATGTGTGCTGCGCCTATAATTTTTACAACCACTGTACTTATCCATACATATATATTTTCCCTTTTCCACTCATACTCATTGGCTTCCAAATCCATCCTTCTTAGTTCATAATAAATCAATCAAGTTCCAGCTCCAACTACCCAAACACAGTTTCTCATTTCCACTGTTGATTTATTGTTTTGTTGCTTTTTCGTTGTAGGCCGCCATTATGAAAATGTATACTTGGAACTTTGTTGGTCACTGCGTTAATGCGTCAGCAGCATCATGCCACAAGTACTTACCTGCAACTTGCAACATCACCGTGAACGCCATTAATTACAATTTCAAAGATGAGGCCACCAGCAATGCAAACAGCCGCGCTGCAGCAGAATAATGAGGTGCACATCAACACACAGCGACAACGTCAGATACAACAACAGCAACAACAACATTACACTACACAGCATCAACAGCTTCCTTTACAACTGCGGCCACAGCAATATCAGCAGCAGAACCATCAGCAGCAACAACAACAACAGCAGCTCCAACAACCCCAAACCACTCCACTGACACTTCTCAACCAGTCACACTACGATACAACTGCAGCGCAACAAGCGCGCAAATACCATTTTGAGCAACCGAACTTTACCGTTGATAAACCGCTGAATTTTGTAGCGACCACAATAGTTGCGCCCGCGGAGAAAGAGGTGGGCGTTGTGATACCAAAACCAAGAGTAAGCCGAAATTCTGCAGCATATCCAGTTAGTGTCAAACTGCCAGTGAATGATAAAAGTAGGCAGGAGCAATTTGTGCAACGCCAGCATTTACAACAACTGCAGCAACAGCAACCGCATCAACCGCAGCCGCAAAGCACCAGTCTTGATTGCATACAATTGCTGGACCTGAGCACATCACCGCCACATGAGCCCGTCTACCCACTCCAAGGTAGCACAACAGCTTACTTGCCGCAACGGCCTCTAGCGGACGTGCCACCGCCATATCGGCGCGCATCAGCTGCCAGTGCGGCGCCTGTGCCAACGCACCGAGCTTCCTACGCCAGTCAATATTCGCGCTCCTCGTCGAGTGAGGACGGTTCGATTGGCGGCGGCGGTAGCAGCAGCAACAGTAGAACAGCGGCCGGTTTTCCTAACACCTATTCGCGTGCTAGCAGCGCATTTGATGACGCGGCTGAGCATTTCATAATCAACTTCCCAGCCGCAGACTCACCATCGCACAATCAGAACGATTGTACCATAAATTTGCCGCTTTCCGAGACAGAGCCGTTGCTAACGAATATCGAGACCACCGTTGCGGATAAGCAACGCTCCATACGACTGCCGAAGAGTAGCGCTTCATTGATATTCACCAAGAAGGATTTGTTGCCGCAGCGCACAGCGTCTGTGACACCCTATCACGGTGGTGGTACTAATAATAATTGCACCACGCAACAGCAACAACAGCAGGCGAAACAACAAAAACACAATCAGCCACAACAACAACAACAGCAGCTACAGCCACTTCAACATAGTGCCAGCTTACGCTCGGCTAAGGAATACGTTGCACGCAAACCTGTCAGGCATTTGCCAGCTTCATATCAGCAACAGCAGGAACTACAGCAACACCAGCAACAACAACAACAACAACAACAACAACGCCGTAGTTTACAATTGAACTACAACAATAATCTAGTGACCACATCGACGTGCTGCAGTGCGAACAATAATTACTGCAACGCCGCAACGGGCAAAACTGCCAGTGTCAGTGGCAGTGCGAGCGGCAGCGGTTCAATTGGTGCTGTTTTGCATAAACATAATCAGAATTTGAAGGCTGATAATCCAGCGACAACAACAGCAACTACCAACGTCATTCCACAACAACAAAAGCAGCAACTGCAACAGCAATCAGGCCAAAGCAATACAACCACGGCTGCGGCAACACGAAAGCAACACGCGTACTCGTGGTACGCTCCGGTCTATAGTGCGCTCGAAGAGGAACTGGAACAGGATTCTAGGGTGAGTAGAGGGGAAATTTGAAAAAAATAAATAAATAAAGTTATGCTTAACTTAGCGTTGACTAAAGTTAAGTAGTAAGTAGGCACAGGTACACTGGCGGCAGAAATAATAGACTCGTCGTTATTTTAAAAATTTCGAGTATATTTCTTTAGTCTATTTTAGGTTTAGTATTTTTTTATAAAATCCCAGGTAGTTATGCATTTTAACGTGGCGGGACCCAAACCCAGTGCACGCGAAGTTTTACGCCTTCTCACTTTAGCTCGCTCCCAAACGCGTGTTTGGTCGCTACCCAGAGTATACGTGGATGTAAATATCTGTACAGTCTCGGGTCCAGCGGCTATTTTACGTGACACTGGAGCTTGGCCTTCAGCTCATGCCTACTGACTTGCCTAGGTGACGGCTCTGCATCAAACATGTATGTGTTCGGCTACTCACGGCTATAGCACTCTACTAAGAACTGCTTACTGAGCATGATGTTGTGCTCTCTTGCTGCGAGCCTTTGGATCTCACTGTGGATGTGATGTTCAGGCGACAACAGAAATCAACCCTTGGCTGTCCGGAGTGCTGCCTTATGGCGTTGTACTTGTGACCGGCGACCACACAGGCGTAGCATACTTTAGAACAGGCAGCTAATTGCTTTCTAAGTGCTGCCTGCGAGCGATTTGAGAACTTTGTTGCAGCTCTGCACTTCATTGGTAATTTTGGCTGTGTGCGCCGAGAAAACGAGCAGATTACTTCGAGTTGGTTCACCGTCGACGTGGTAGCATAGGGTAGTATGAAGGTTAGAAAGTTTTTCAAAACCCATCCACAGTGAACGTAAAACCGGTTTTAATATGGGGCAGATTTGTAAGCCGTACACCGTGCAAGGGTTTAGCAAGGCTTAGTGACTCCCTCAAATATCTAGTTCGTGGTAGGCACTCAACAAATTTTTTTAGTTTTCCGACACTGATTTAGAAATTTCGATTACTGCTAGAAACCCACGAAAAGTCATATTTCAAAAACACACAAACGAAAATTCAAAACAAAAATACAATTATAAATCAATTTATATTCACTTCAATGTCAAAATTAACGAATTTCTTCTTGTTCCATTCGTTTTCCGCAGGATTCCTCACCAATTCACAATCTGGCCAACACAAAGAAACAACACCTCAACCACTACCAACACCATCGGTCCACAAACAACTCTTCAACGGCGGTGGACAATGAAACCGTTGCGCTGCTAGAGACGCGCAACCAAGTCAACATACAGGCGCAGCTGCATACGCAGGCCAACAGTCAGAGCCACAGTGGCAAGGATGGCAGCGTTGGTGGCAACGGCATTGGCATCAGTATCGGCGGCAGTGGTGTTGGCACCGCCATCAGTCGCGCACAACAGAAACACAGCGGCCAAGCGAGGCGTGCAAATGGTGGTGCACCACCAGCGCCTACATCGCTTCCGTTGGCGAGCGCACACAATACCACGCTGCTCAATGAAATGGCCGCCAGCGGGTGTGGTGCGGGAGGCGTTGGCCTATCAACTAGTGCAGAGCAAACATCGGTACCGGTGAATGGATATGAAAGCGAAGGTGGATTGGTGAATTCGCTTAGTGGCACGCTGCCGCCGCGCAGGCGTATTGAGAACTTTCTGAAGTCTCTAGTGGGACGTAAGTCATCGAGCGCACGTACTAGCAGCAATTCGGGTAATAGCGGCAATGCGGACGCTTTATCAGTAGCAACATTGGCGAGTCGATCAGACAACATCGTCTCACATCAACCAATGCCCGCCTCTCCGGAAATAACTATTACGGGTACGCCATCAGAGCAAAATTTGGCGCTTATGCGTGATGCCGCGCTGGCTGGACGTCAATATAAGCAAGGGTTTGCAGCGGCATTGGAGCAGCGTAAAAGTGATTATAGTGGCGAAAAGTTGAACGTAAACGGCGCGATACAGGGTAGCAGTTCATCGCTAAATGTTGTGCAACAAAAGCTGTGGAACATGATGCGGCGCGAAGACAGCGCGGCCAGCTTGTACAACGAGAAGTCACATTCGATAGTGCAGTACCGTGGCTTGCGCAAGTGTGAGACTGTTTTGGCGCTGACGCGTCAAACTAATTCGTTGTGTTCGCCCGTTTTCGGTGGCAGTGCAGCAGCGCATCTGGGTGCGGGCGCAAAACACGGCAGTGGCGGCGGCGTTGCTCGACACAACAGCTGTAGCGCTGGTGGCGGTGCGAACGCCGGAAGCAGTGGTATGCGACGTACACACACCACCGGCAGTGGCATATACAGCGCAAGCGGCGTCGAGCAAATACGACCATTGAATCGGCTGCGCAACAGCGTTACGAGCATCAATGCTGCAGCGACATGTTCGCGTTGCTCTAGTCTACTCTCCTTAGCCGCTTCCAGTTCGCGTTATTCGCTGAATGTTACATCGAATGGTAGCGGAGGAGCGTTCATGCAAGCGCCTCCCTCCACACAAATGCCCACATCTGCATCACAGCAACAGCTGCAAGCGCTCGCAGCATCACTCGATTGCAAGCCACCAATACACTCATCACAACAACATCAACAGAAGCGCGAACGTAAAATTAGTAATGTAAGCAGTAGTCAGTTAAATAGTAATAATAATGTATTAGCTAGTAATCGCAATGCTGATGCAAACGCCGCGGAACAATGTGCCAGCGGCGGTGGCAGCAGTAGTGGTAATTGTTCCCGAAAGAGCTCCGCTGGCGCGCCAAGCACGCATAGCGCGAGCAGCATCACACCGCCGTCCAATATAACCACGGCTACGCTCACATCAAGCATCACATCGCCGCACGCCAGCACACCCACCACACCTACAGCAACAGCAACAGCAGCAGCAGCAGCGACCACAGCAACAGTTGCAGCAATCGTCGTCGCACCAGAATCACTAGTAGTCACACCCACCGCCAACTCACCGCACGCGCAGACAACAATGTCCTCATACGCCAGCACTAGCAACAGCAACACCTCAGGCATACTCGTCGATCTGCCGTCATCGCCAACATCCGCTGCCTCCTCGGCGAGTACACCGTGCACCTCTAGCTCCTGCTCATCGGCCACTACGCCCGCGCCCACCTATGCGTTGCCAACAACATCGCAAACATATCCCTTTACCATTACATCACTGCTGGCAATGTCAAAGGCGAACATGGCACACGATGTCGGACGTTGTGTCGATGGATTTGGTGAGGAAGATGATGATGATGCTATGACGGTAACAATGTCGTCGTCGGCTGTTAACGGCGTGCCGGGTGCTGATATGTCTGTGTCTGTCGTGGATGGCAGGCATTATGCGCCGTACGCAACAACACCAGCGCCAGCGATACAACCGATGAAGCGTTTTCAGCCGTTCACTTGCAAGCTGTGTCTAATTGATGTGGAAACGCAGGGAGAGGCGACAACGCTGCAGTTGTGCGGTTGTGAATTTTGCACTGAGGTAAGTCAAATTTAATTATTTTCTTATAATGCTTTTTGATATCTGATACAACCACGGATTTGTCTTTTTCTGTTTAGCAATTGGAAAAAGAATATCTTAAAAGAAAGATTTTATATACAAGTTTATTAGCCACGCGGCATTTCGACTCCAAAAATGTCTTTTTATGTGCCCTATTTAGCAGCAATTCGGTTTGGTGTCACTGGTAGACTCTTTAACGAAAATCGCTAACAAAAAACAAAAGAGCTTAATATAGGCAAATAAATACTTATGCTGTGTACAAATTGCACATCGGCAGCAGGTTTTTCGACTCGGAAACCGATATTGCTACTGCCTCCCGTACCGCCCCCTATCACGACCGCAGCCTTCGGACTTTTTTCAATTGACAAAACACCAAAATTATAACCCGCCATCTTGTCTGGTAGCAGCTTCACTATTTCCCTGAAAACTATGCTATAAGATGGAGTCAAAACCTGATGATTCTTCAAATCACTTAACCCTAACCAATTTCTTGGTTGCTTCTGGTGGACTGCAGAGTATTCATTAAGAGTGGATTCAGCTCGCGCCATATCATCCGCCGTCTGATACATTCTTAAAACCCAGACTAATTTAGAGTAGTCGTACTATTTAATACCTCCAGGCCCATCGAAATTCGAACACTTTTCGTTGAATAAAATAATTACTTTGACCTTAAGCTACAGTATGTTTTAAATTTTTTCTTTATTTGTAGTGAAATTAATATGCGAAAACTATTTTAAAAGTTTAAGCACATATTTTAGCTGTTATTGTGTCAAAAAATCCATTAAAAGGTCGCAAGAACGGAAAAATGGCTTGAAATTTCTTTAAAAAAAGTTCCTGTTTAGAGGTCAAAAAAAGACAAGAAATAAAAGCTTTTATTTTGATGGTAATTTTAGTTCCAAATCTTACACTGTGCGCCGTCAATTTTTTAATCGTCACGATGGTGTAGATACCTTGTGCTCTTTGGGCCTATTCTGACTCTTTTCAGTCCCGTCGCGACGCCTCTTTTTTGGCTGAGTTACATGTCAAACCGAATTTCGAAAAAATAAAATCAAATAATTTCTCTTGTCGCTTTTTGACCTTCTTCATAGAAAGCTGCGTTTGTTCTTTTAACTTTAAGCTGCTCTGGTAACTTCCGGCATCTGAAGCGCAAAGGTCTTGATTCATGGTATCCAATTTTCATCTAGCTGAAATAACGACATGTAGTCGGTCTACAAAGTTCGTCTCTAACTTCGTTCCGTTATCTTTGTTTAATGCCATCTTACTATGCGGCCTATGTTGACTTATTATGATTTTCATTCGGTGCCACAAAATAATCCCATAAGACTGGGTCGCGTGCGGAAAAATAAAATTATTTCCATGTCATTTTCAATCATAAATACATACATATGTATAAGGAGATATAGGTTGATTCAATAAGATCGCAGATGTTCGCAATGGAGCCATTGTTTCATGCATTGTAAGGCAAGTGGCGCCGCCCTATGTATTGAAACCACACATTTTACAAGTCTGTTTCATCTAATTCAGGACATTTTAGTTTTCGAAGAAGAATGGTCCGATGATTCCGCTAACCCAAAAACCACACCGAACAGTGACTCGTTGTGGGTGCATAGTTTTTTTTATTGCAGTGGGTGTGGATTAGGTAAAGATGTGTCTCATCGTTCATGATGATTTTTTTTTTTTAATATTTCGAGCACTTCTACCCGTTATTCAACCGAGTATCGCTCCATCACAAAATTTTCGAAGACCTGTAGTATCAATTGTCTTATATTTACTTAGATATCGTCGGTGATGCTGTAAAACGCTCTATGTCACTTATTACCTCTGGTGCTGTATGATCTGTTATCTGTATCTGATCGCTTCTAGCAATCGTTCATCGTCATCAGCCAAAGGTAGACAGTTTTGTCATTCGCTTATTAGGGTGTAACGATTTTCACATCAGGGCATAAATTTATACTAACACTTCCAGATTAACTACGAAAAACTTACTACTAAATACAATAATCTTCCCTTAGGCAATGACATTGGCGTGTAAACCTCCTTTTCGAACCCTTCATTAGCCCTGCAAACTTAAAGTTATCAAAAGGTACACTAAATCGATTAAAGTTCACTTACAATGCCGAATAAATTAAGTTCACAAATCTAAGGAAACTCATTTCAAATCTATATTGTCATTCATTAATTTACACCAAATTAAATTTCAAAGCAAAGCACCGCTAACACTAACATATAAACCAACTCAAGCATAAACAATCAAACACATATACATATACATATGTATGTACATATAAGCTTAGCCTTTGAGCGAGAAAATCTCCAAAATGACAAAATGAAAATGCCGAATACTACACAATCAAATTCGCATTTAATTGCACCTTGAAGAGCAATTAATGTCACACAAAAGCCTGCTGAGTGGGGAATGAGAAAGATAGACACGACGGATTGTCGAAGGCATCAACAATTCAAGAGTGCTTAGCAAATATGGCTGGCATACAATAAACAAGCGTAAGCAAAGGTACATAATAGGGTGGTTGACTCGATTTTTCCAAAACGGTTTCCGCCGGTTTTTTGAATATCTATAGGTGGTTGCTTTTGAAATATTTATTTTTTGAATATCGAATAAATCGGGTTTTTATCGAAAAACCGGGTTTTTTCATTTCATACAAATTTTGACTAGAATTACAATTTTGAGTTTTTCGAAAGGTACCAGGTTATTTGGGAAAGAACAGATCATACTTGATCCCAATGAGCTTCTCCTCCAATACGTGCTCCGCTTTTTGATATTGTGACACAAATGGAGAGATCTTCACTTTAACTTCACCACCGAATGAGTTGTTTTTTATGGTAGGAGTACACTCGGAGGTTTGCCATTGTCTGCCGAGGAGCGATCTCTATTTCAAACAAACTCTTTTTGAAGTTGCTGGGCGCAGAAATTTAATCATGGACCTACCGATTGGCAGAATGCACCTCTAAGCACTCGGCTAAGGCGGTAAAAACACTACGCAAATTCGAAAAAAGTCAGAAAAAATGCCTAAAGTATGTATTAAAAAAAAGTTGAGATAAGATAAAAGCTATCTTTACTGTTAATAGTTTTATTGCAATTTTTGGTCATCACTTCATACCAACAAGAACATTTTCACTGTAAGATAACTTTGTAAAATAAAAGCGGTTTATCCGGGTTTTAGTAATTTCAAAATGCTGGCCCGGGTGTTTTTCAAATTGCAATTTTTCGCATGACTCAAAAAGCGGTTTTTTAAAAAGGAGAATAATTGAACACCCTAGTGCAAAAAAAAAAAAATGTATTCGCTTGGCCAAATTTGCTTGAGGGTGTGTGTGAAAAAGGTGAATTCCTAACAACGTTGCCAATTGCAGTTGCACTATTTGTCTCCCAGTCAGAAAAATGGGCAGCTCTTCTAAGTAAACACTTTCAGGTTGGTATTTTCCGAAAAGACCTTTTCATTGGAAGCTGTTTAGAAGGCAGATGAGAAGGTGTACTTCTAAAGCAAAAAAAAAAAAAATCACAGTTGACTAGAGAATTTTCAACTGTGTTTTTATTATATCAGGTAATTTTTAGATTTGAAAAGGTAGCTGATTCAGAAGGTTCGAAAGTCTGGGTATTCCCTAAAAATATAAGATAAAATCGAGTGAAGAGTTGAGAATTTTGCCGACTGGCACGTACACAAATTAACTGCATCACTCCTAACGCACATATATACATTTATATATCCCTAAGAGACACAGGCACATAAATCCGTACGCATGTATGTATGTACATACGCACATCCAAATGCACTTGCATGCGTGGCAGCAAGTCAAATATCCGACAGCACTGACAGTCAGGCAAACACACCCGAGCAAGCAAGCTGTGTAAGTTTGACGTTTAGCAAGTTGATTTGGTTGGATTAAGCATTCACCTGCTAGCGATAGGATAATTTGGCCAACGAACAGAGGCAAAAGCTCTTGTGTAAACAAATGAGTGAAATGAGGCTGCCGACGGCGGTTATTTTTGCTTAGTTATGCAGCGTAAAATATGGCTGTGCCAACGCCAAAAATCACTGAATCCAACGCTTTTGTATTCTGTGCGCCAAGTAATAAGGTTTTGAGGGGTAATAACCAACTGAGCAAAATTTGCGATATTTTCGAAGGAAAATCAATGTGTTCAAACTCGATGTTTAAATTGTTCGTGGGTAGAAAGATAACTGTCATTTAGGAGCTCTGAGCTAAGAGCATCTACCGAAATAGTCCCGAGAATCCCAAAATAGACCCTAGAGTCCTGTAGTAATCCTGAAAACCTCTAAAAATCCTGTATTATCCCAAAAACACGAAGAACCCCGAAGAATTGTAGGTGTAAAAATCTAGCGCACTCAAGTGTGGATGTAAGAAAATAATATTTTCTAGATGCAATTTGGCTTACCCCTCATATAAGGGCATTTAGGGGTATGTAGTATTTGACGGAACATTCAAATCGTAAATCGTTTTGTATCAATATGAAAAGCAAACACTACCTATTTTTTCAGCCCAAAAATATATCAGAGAAACCTGGTTACTTATGTTTCTTTAAAACATATAATTTTTTGTGTTTTATTATAAAATGCATAAGCGGTTTTTACCCAGTCAGAAAAGTTGAAATCGACCGTTCATAGAATGTTGAGAAGGTAATGAAGTTCATAAAATGAACTGAAATAAATAATGTGATTCATAAAAGATACCAAGGAAAAATGTATACGCATAAAAGTTTTATTAAGAATCATATTAGATTACCACAAAACACTTTGATTTCATTTAAAATTTTATTTTTCATGCAATTTCGTTTCGTTGTCCTTTTCAATTTAAATAATTCACTTACATTTTCTACTTTGGCATTTTGTTTGCTGCCAATCACATAGCTCTCACGTCCAATGCAAAATCTGTAAGTAATACTTTACCTACTTTAAGTTTTACAAACTCTTACAACAATTGATTGATTTTCTCATTAAACTTTACCA